TCGGTTAGGAGTAGAATTGTTCTTTTTCAGGCTGTTGCCACAGTAAGCTTATTACTGGGATTCGCTGATGTGAAATAAGTAACTGTTTTGGTTATAAAGATTACAAGAAGTGTCTGCAGGGCCAGGATTTTAAAATCTTAAGCTACCAGGCTTTTTAAAGGAAAGAGAGCAAAACTCCACACATCCGCTCTTGGCTTTCCAGTACAATGAAGCCCTACTGTCTCCAAATTGGCAGATAAAATCAGTGCACCATGGCACAGGTCTGCTGCCCCACTACTCTGCCTTCAGAGCAACTCAGAGCAACTGTGCTGAAACTTCCTTCAGCCCTGCACACTTGTTGACTTTGAGGAAAAAGCCTCAATGTGAATTAAAAAAACAAATAAACAAACAGAACCAAAAAAAACCCCACAAAACCAAAACAAGGCCATTCACACATAACCTTGCAAACAAGGCCAGATAGGTTTTAACTCTGTGTTCTTACTCAAGAAGTCTGTCCACTGAAGCCATGGACTGGTCTGGGTGAAGCTGACAAGAGCCAGACGTGTTTTCCTTCCAACATTGTCTGCTACAGACCATAGTATGACTACACCTGTATCGGAGCGTAATGAAAAAGTGTTTCTAAATTACCGGATCATAACCACAAACAGTTAATCATGCACTTGGAAGACAAGTTACTCATGTATAGAGCCAGCTCCATGCACTGCCTTCCTGCTCCTTCATTGTTCAGGGACAATTTATCTTAAATCCCCTAGTTCAGGAAGGACTACTGGTTTCTTCATCAGAGATGCCTACTCAAGGCATAGAAGTGGCACAGTGCCCTGCTAGGCAGCATTACAGTACTGCTGAGTGTGAAGAGAGAAAGGGAATAGACCTGAAGTGTGAGGAGGCGGAGGGGGCAGTTTTAATGTTCATTTGAAAGGAGTTACGCTGGGATTTTTTTTTTTGGTAGTCGTATTCAATCTAGACAACTTGCTGAAGTTTTCTACTTTCATTAACTCCCTTACCTCAGCTACCAGTTTCTGGGTTCGTTGGTTCTGGTGTCACAGTAACACCCCAACTCCCGAGTTGTCACAGGGGAAGCACTTCTGGGCACCAGACACCATGTGCAGCTCCTATTTCAGGACCAGAAGGACAAACTAGACCGGATGCTGGCTCTAGCAAGATCTGTAGTTATTAGCTAGCCAACCTGAGCTTAGAGTTTACAAATAGCAACTGAGAATGGCACTGGCTGCTGTGACAGGGAGAGCAGTTCTTCGTTGCCTGTTGGGCTTCAAAACAGCTTTGAGCAGCGCTCTGGGCCACGCTCCATCACGTTTCGCTAACAGAAAACAACAACTCACTAAGTAACTAAACCTCCAAATGCCTTCAGTTCTTAGGGCAAAACACACCTCAGTAATCCAGCCTATTATCGCCTTTCCAGTGCAGGAGTGTCACAGCTGCTTCCCACCACAAAGACATCTGAATATTATCTGTAGTCCAGTGCTCACTGCAATTTAACTATTTTGCTACTAACATTGAAACTGAGCCAATTAAGCGGTTTTAAAACCCATCACAGCTTTAATTTGCGAGACAGAAAGGAATGAAGAGTGCAAAACTCTCACTGCAGCAGAGACTTCCAGTCCTGTAGTCCTTGGTAGCAAAACATCTGGTGAAGCTGAGGGGTTGTACCTCCCATAGCACCTCTGCTCTTGCCCTGCTGCCTCGCCACCACTGCTTTAACTTGCTTGGGTCAAGAGCCTCCCAGTTTGGTCTCTTGCCACTCATTGCAACAGGAGAGCATTATTTTTATACTTTGTCAACTTATACGGACTTTTAAAGCATCACTGTACAGAAGCTGCTCTATTTTCTAATGAAGTCTTTAAATTATCTTTTTAATAAAGTGTTTTTTAAACGTGTCTGGGAATTTCTTCTCTAAAAACCATTGTCTGGCCTAACACACAAACAGCTGTTTGAGAGAGGAACATCACTCAGGTGTTTCCAGCAGTAACAGTTGTTCATCCTGGAGTCTCAATATGCCCTTGAAGAAACTGCAGAACTGTGCAGAAGGCTGCATATGCCACTTGACTCTCACAGCTTTCGGCACTTCACTGTAGCCCTTCCAGAAGCTGGGCAGTCGCCAGTAGAAAATTATGTTAACGTTAGACTGAAGAACTGGGGAAAGAGGTGAACTCCGCAGCTCATCATCTGAATTGCCTCTTAACAGTACAGTCCCTTTCAAATCAACTGGAATTGGTCACGGTAACGTGCCTGTTCTCTCATCCTGCACTGTGCCAGGCAGCTGACACAAAGACATTATGTGTCTTCTCAGAGGCAGAGGGGGGAGGTGGTTGCATTCAAAGGGGTGAGGCAGGAGCAGCAAGAAGTTTTCCCATAGCTGAAGCATGCAGACAGTTGTGTGGCCTGCAGCATGCCATCAGAAGGATTGACAGTGTGAGCCAGTGAGGGACATTTGCCTGTTCCTACGCAGAGGGCCTCGATATTGCGTGAGCAGTGCAATGTGGTATCAAAGCAGGTGGCAGAAGAGCACGCCCTATGTACACCTATGTTCAGCGAGATGTAGATAATTACAGCATGCGGAAGCATCCATAGGTGTTTTATTTTTTAAAAAGTAGGATGTAAGTGCAAGCCTTAGCCCAGTTCAGTTAACAAATCAGTCCTCTGTAATGATACTGCTTAAACACAAAAATGCATTTTTGCAGAGGGTCAAGAATTCAAATGCATTTATAAGAACAGTTTTCAAGAGAAGTGCTTTAGCCATGACAAAATCCGAGCTTTCCATAAGAGAAGTTTTGCAACATAGGTTATAAATAGCAGGGGAGTTTTCTGATTAGCTAGAAGAAATTCAGAAGCTGCTTTATCATGAAGCAGTCCAGCAGCAGTTACTCAAACCTGTTTCAGAAAGCAGTCATTTCCCAGAAAACAAGTACCTTCCAGTTTCACAGCACTTTTGTTTTTTTGTAGTTCAGACTACCTACATAGTGCTGTAAGGTTTCAATAAGCTTATTTTGCTGTGCAATAATTTTGTTTCTTTTTCAGATCACACTTGGACAAGAAAGAGCTCAGCTAGCCCTAAGTCCAAAGGGCCATGTATTCCCAAGAAATACAAGCTGAAGCTGTTCCATACACAAATTTGTATCCAAACTTCCTAAAATGATCTGCAAACTGGATTTAAACAGCAGCCTGGCACTGTCTGGTGTCTGTTGTGGAATTAGAAGAAGTAGAAAACTCAGAGTCTCAGTTCAGTAATAAATGGATACAAGTTTGGCCCCAAATCAAACTCATTCTTAAAGGAGCACAAGGACTTTAGGTTATTTAGAATCACTGCCTGAGCTGCTAACACATCGTCAGTAACAGCTCAGGAAAAGAGCACAGAGCTCATCCCAAGCAATTTTTGGTAAAAGCCACTAATTTAGTGGCAGTGATATAAGCAAATCTAAATATGAAAGTTGCAACTAGCATGATCCAGCTATCACTTCCTTCTTTGACACTACTCTCCGCAATTCCAGAAACTATTAGGAAAGAGAGGGTGCCTGATGCCTGAAGTGTCAGCCTTTCACTTTCTCTTACATGCGTCTGTATTTTAAGCTGCTTAGAAACTGACAGGAAGTTGCAACAAACCGAATAGATGAGTTCAGTTACTGTTACTTTTTGTTTCAAGGATTTCATAAACATCCTTGGAGCTCGACAACATTCTGGAGCCCGTGGTTTTGATAAATTTTTCTGATGGGATGTATTAGTCCATGCTGGTAATTGAACACCAAACCTGCCTGATGCACAGGTTACAGACACTGTAACCATATCAGATATGTTCCACATCAGATATGGATTTCTGAGAGGTCATTAATTCTATGAGTAATGGTAGCTTACCTTCAAAGAAGAGCAGCTGCCGCACACCCATTTTTTAGAGATTTTATTTCCTTAGACTGGTATTTCAGACCTGCAGTATGATGTGGTAAAAAGCAAGCTGGAAAAAGAAAAAATTCGCTTTGGATATTTAACTGGGTTTTTTTGGCGAGGTGGTGTTGTTTTTCCTTTTTACTCATAGCTTCATCAAAGATGTGAAGAAAAGAGAAAAATCTCAGAAGAGTGAGCTTCTTTCATGCAGACTCTCACTATCCCTTTTCACAGTAGCAATTGTGCAGGCAAGAGAACGTGTGACTCCATATTTATTTATTTTAGTTGTGCTCAGAGTTTTACAGGTAGGATCTTCCCTTTAGACCTTCTCAACAGAAATACAAAAAAGTTTGAAGCCATTTCCTCATTTACCCACTTATCTCCAATAATCAACTGAAGTGAAAATCAGAAACATCGTTTGTTAAAAGAAATAGGTTGAGTTTGTGAAGGCTTATCCCAGTCTAGAGCTGGGCTTCCTGCTATGGCACAGATCTATGAGCTTGTAATTTAGAAAATTCAGTCCCCAGAGTCCTGTAACTCCCATCTGCTCAACAAGAAACAAATCTCTTCTCTAGCAGTGACAGGGACATTCCTGGTAGCTGATGCTGTGCAGAGGAAACACTTCCTGCATCTCGAGGGAGCTGGACCTTCATCAGACACTCTGGGTACCCGATCTGTCTTCATGGGATGGAGAGGAGGCAGGGAACAAACTCTTCAAGGCA